GTGTGTGTGTGTGTGCGCGTGTGTGTACAGGTATATCTGGATGTATATCTAATAATTAGGGGGGTTTGTGGGTGGGTCTGTGTGGCGGTGGGGTATATTGGGCAGTTTGTATTGATTTTGACTAGGCTGTAAAGCACTTTTTGTTGCATTTTATTGTATGAAAAGCTTGATTGATACAGAAGACATGTCACAACACTTATCCCTCTTCAAAAAACAGACCTGTTATTTTGAATCGCGACATGGTGGCTGAGTGGATAGCACTCTGGCTTCTCAACAAGAAGATCCTCCGGGTGCTCCGGTTTCCTAAACCACTAGAAAACATGTACAGTAGATCTACTATGTGCCTCCTGTACTGGTGACCTCAGACCCATCTCTGTGTGGAGCAAGAGACAAAATGCCTAAAAAAAAAAAAAAAAACAGACCCCCGCTTTGTGATTCTGGTCTGTGAAAGGCGCAATATAAAAAAAGATTACTTACTTACTACAACTACTTAAATCTATGCAATAAAGCCAATGAATGCCCACGTAGTTTAGTCCTTCTTTACGGGCGGTTGTTCTCAGCACCAAGATTAAACAACAGATGCCCCATGTTGAATATTAAAGCTCATTTCATCTCTGTGACAAGACTGCATTTATAATCTGTTCTAAAAATACATCGGTGCGTACGAAGCGCTGCGGAATATGTCGCACTCCAGCCGCCGCACATCGCATCGTGGTTAATTTACTAATTTGTCAGAGCCGAAACACACACATTATTCACGTGGTAATTGTCTGAAGAAAAGAGCGAGGCCTCTTATAATATTCTGTCAAAATTCTCCACAAAAGAGTAATAACGGTGTCAAGTGTCCGCTGTGAAGGAGAGCCTCGTACAAAAGTGACTCATGCGAAACAGAGAAGGAACAGCAAGACTTATGCCATTCAGCCGAGCTCACACCAGGGACGGGAGACCGGATTCTACCCATCTACCGTCAGAATGTGCAAAATAGAACCACACGTGTCCACTGTATTTGTACAGTATTTTACATTTGCTCCGTTATCATAAAATATTTCGAGATTTTACACTTATTTTTTGCTTCTTTAATATGCTAAGGTATATACTTGCTTCTATATTACGTGTGTAAAGTATGCCGTGTGCTCCTCGATCCTTCTGTTCTGTAACTAGTGATGCAACACTGAAATTTCCCCACTGTGGGACGGATAAAGGATCTCTTCATCTCAATAAGTCTGTGTAATGTAAGAACACTGTGAAATATTAGAATTGCTTGAATTGAGTTTTTTTTTTAAAGTACATTCTGACTGTCGTAAAAACCAGATTTCCCAATGGGACTAAGCTCGTCAAAAGCCTAAAGTCTTATTTTCTCATTCCAAGGGAGACATTATTGTATCATTTTAAAACAAGGTCTGTTTAGTCTTGTTTTAAGGCAGTGTTAATGTGCTCAAAATAAGATATATTCTGACAAATTTAATATAATAATTCTCTTTCTGCAGCTACAAAATGCCTCTCTCATTCCCCCCTCTCTCCTTTCCCCCTGTCTCCTCTCCTTCTCTTTCTCTCCTTTCCCCCCTCTCTCCTTTAATACTTCTCTCTCATTGTCTCCTTCTCTCCTTTTATCCTTCTCTCCCTTTATCTGTCTCTCTCTCTTCTTTTCTCCCTCTCCTTTTCTCCCTCTGTTCTGTTCTCCCTTTCTACTTTTCTCTCCATCTCCTTTTCTCCTTCTCTTCTTTTCTCCCTATCTCCTTCTTTACTTCTCTCCCTCTCTCCTTTTCTCCTCCTCTTATTATCTCATTTTCTCCTTCTCTCCCTCTCTTTTTCTCCTTCCCTCCTTTTATCCATCTCCGTCTCTCTCTCTCACTCCTCATTTCTCCCTCTCTCCTTTTCTATCTCTGTTTTGTTCTCCCTCTCTCCTTCTCTCCCTCTCTCCTTTTCTCCTCTTCTTTTCTCCCTCTCTCCTTCTCTTCTTCTCTCCCTTAATCCAGACTCAGGGCCAGAGTAGCTCCAATGTGCTTATGTTGCATTGACTCTCTCGCTTGTGGCTCCGCGATGATGCGACTGAAGCTGCATCCCTGTGCACATGCATGTAGTGAGGTGTGTGCGTGTGTGTGTGTGTGTGTGTCCTGAGGGTCCTGAGGTATGTGTGTGCGAGCATGAGGCACACTGTGAGTGTCCTGAGGGCCCTGAGGTGTGTGCAGTTACGTAAGAAGCTCAGGAGGAGAGGGGTGGGGGTTTCACGCTCAGGCTTATCGCCCCAGGGCCCAGCTATGAGCTCTCTGCCACTGATAAGAGTGTGTGTGTGCCTGTGTGTGTCTGTGTGTGTATGTGTGTGTGTACGTGTCTGTGTGTTCCTGTGAGGGTCTGTGTGTGCCTGTGTGTGTGTGTGTGTGCCTGTGTGCCAGTGTGTCTGTGTGTGTGTGGGTGTGGCAGTGTGTCTATCTGTGTGTGAGTGCCTGTGTATGTGTCTGTGTGTATCTGTGTGTGCATTTGCGCGTCCCAGCCAGACTGAAATAGAGTGACAAAATGGAGCATGCGAAACGGGGAGGGGAGCGTGTATGTATGTTTGAACATGTGTAGCAGTGTCAGTGTGTGTGTGCGTTGGTGTGCGTTTGTGTGCTTCCAATTCCACGTCAACCTGTTCACATGCCACTGCCTCAACGCACTGCACCTTTCTGTCACTTTTTCTACAGCTTTTCAAAAACACGCTTAAGAAAATGAAGGGGTTTTCTCCATTCAGACTGAAGAGACACATTTGAATCAGGTAAATTGGTTGGTGGAGTAAATAAACCAATATTTTGTTTCATAGACACCATTAGAGTCTTACATTTGGATAATATACCACCACATGCTTACTTAATAATAATAATAATAATAAAAATAATACATACTGAGAGGCGACTTTCTAGATACTCAAGGTTGCCTTAAAATATATTTAAAGACAGTAGAAATACAAAGTTGAAATACAAAGTTTAAAGCAGCACGAACAGGTGTGGTGTACGTGAATAGGCTTCTCTAGACATTATTGAGGATGGATTTGAATCTTTTTAGAAAATATTTTATAATTGAAAGTGGTCTCTCTTTTTGTCCCTCTGTTTTTACTGAAAAAGTTGATCTAATGATGTGACAGAGGCCCCAGGTACAAACATGAGAACATATGTGTAAGAACTGAGACAAAGTAAGAATGGGATACATGGATTGTATTTGTTATTTTTGTCTGGTTTCAAAGTAAGAGACTTCAGCTTTGATCTTTGTATATTTACCCAGTGGCTACACCCCTCTGCTGCTTTGACCTAAAGGGCATTTTTACTATTGTTAGTAACTTTTACAATAATGTATTTGTTTGTGTGGATGGATGTGTTTCTGCTGCTAGACATTATAATTTCTTCTACAGAAATTCTATCTATCTATCTATCTGTCATCTATCTATCTATCTGTCATCTATCATCTATCTATCTATCACTATTTTAACCTATCTACTCTATATATCTATTTTTCTATCTCTATTTTAACCTAGGGCTGGGCAATAAATCAAATTTAGGCAATTAATCGGCTTTTGAAAAAATCGAATTTGTGAAAAATTTGAAAATCGTGAAATTGAATGAAGGATATTGTGCGAGTTCCAGCAGCACATGAAATATACTTGCAATATCAGCACAGTCTGTACAAGACTTTTTAAAAACGTATTGGGAGAAACAAATAAAAAAGTTTTGAAACTTGATTATTGAGCGGAAAGATCAAACAATATTTTTAAGGGCAAACTTTAATGAAAATCGATTTAAAATCAATCGTGCAAAGCAGAAAATAAAATAGAGATTTTACTTGTTTGCCATATCGCCCAGCCCTATTTTAACAAATCTACTGTATCTACATCTATCTCTACTGTATGTATCTATCTATCTATCTATCTATTTAATTAATCACAATATTTTCAATGGTGTCCTGGTTGGTTTCATGTCTATCATTTTTGGCTTCTTTTATAATTGTACCAAACAGCACATCTTTAAACTCTGAGATTCACTACAAGAAGACATCCATCTATTACTAATCAGAATGTACAGATATTTTTATTATCCTATGGGTTTTTTTTGGATCCTGAAGCCCACAGCGCTCAGCAAACTGTGTTAGAGCTTGGATTTGGAGAGGGCTGTTCTATAAATACTCTGAGCTGGAGGAGAATCTAGGCCGCACAAACACTCACTCATACACTGATATATGAGGAGATGACTCAAACTGAGAATTCAATAGAACATAGTTGTACCTTTTCCTCAAATTCTCGACTCAACTTCAATAAGGAGCCATGTGCGCCTTCTCCAGATAGAATTTTTTTTTTTATCGGCCACTGTCCTGCTATCATAACAGAAGCAAGAAAATTATAAAATACACGACACTAAATGCTAAATCGGGTGGTTTTATCTTAATTTGAGAACATTCTGACTGTCCTAAAACAAGATTTGTTTTAAGGCAGTCAGAATACACTCAGATTAATATATATTTTGCAAAATTTGACTTTCACTTTTTGCAGTGTTCTTGCAATTTTCTGTATGGACCGACAATGTATCAGACAGTCAAACATAAATAGCCTTTGAGTTATAGCTGTATCGGCAGAGGACATAGGAAGGACAGCCGTGTGCATGAGAGCAGGCCTGGCAAACTCAGGCTCGTGGGTCAAATCCGGCCCACAAGTCCATTTTAAGTTATTATTACCATTATTATTAACTGGAAGTGTTGATAGTATTGGACAACCATGGAATATTTTACATCATTAGTTTCTCTGGAAAACAACCAAATTTAACATATTATTCGGAGATAAATATTTATATATAAATCAATGTGTTTAACTTTATATTTGATCCAGTTTTGGTTAATTCAAAACAATAAAACTCATTTTGTTGTAGAAAACCATTAGAAGAAAAGGGAAATCCCTCCTGTTGGATCAGTGAGTTAGTTAGGTAAGTTGTTGCAAATCTGCAATGCCCGCCTGGACAAGGTTATGAATTAGGAGTACTTACTGTTGTGCAGCACATGGTAACGATAATGAAGGTCCCAATGACTCCTCCAATTCCCACCAGCCAGGTCATCCTGAGGAAGAGGATGACTCCAAAGATGTTCTGGATACAGGGCATGTACACACCCATCAGAGTACCCAGCTGTGGCGCCTGCAGGAAAAAAACAACATGCATTTATATATGAGCTTCAATTTTTGGGGCAAATTGCATTTTGTATTATACCAGAAATGAATGTACAAAAAAATATGTTCAAAAGAAACAAAAAGCTATTTCAATTTGAATCACAACCGTAAATGATCTTGAATAAAGGCTGTAGATGCAAGACTGAGGCTGTATATCCTAGCTTGACTCTCGTCAGACCCTTGTAGTTCTGTTATGCTCCACCAGAGGCTTTTCGTTTAGCTCTCACAAGGGTCTGGGATCGAGGCCAATGCAAACTTTTTTGTTTTGCACCGCCATCGTCGGTTTGCACCACCTTCACAAAAGCCGCTGCCTCTGTTGTTTATGATGTAAAGCAATCCTTCGCATGCACTTCTCACGGCAGCCCAAGCAAAACAAGATGGAGGACATAAAGTCTGTGAATTGTTTATAAAGTTTAAATGCAAAGAATTAACACATGGATGTCACTTTTCATACAATTTAAGAATAGATGTTAATGGTTCCATGTTGTGATATGTGGATTTTATAAGCACATTATTTGTGTAAACTTTGGTTTAAGAAGTTAACTGCTCCTGTCAGTCGTGTGCTTCGATGTGAGTGGTTGAAGTTGCACGTCATTCAAAATAAATTTATCCAATCATGTACACTGATTTTTTTTTTTTTACAAGGCCCCAACTTCTGAAATACATCTCATATTGAGAAATCATCAAGAATCATTCAAGAGTAAGGCTAGTAGATCCAGGACTGAGGCTGTAGATCCAGGATTGAGGGTTAGGGTTACGAGGCCACTCTATGCAGGACTGGCAGCTCCCAGGGTTCTATGAATCTCGTCCGCCTCATCAGCAATATATAGTTCTGCTTTAGATCTATTTTTATTTAGAACTTTCATGAAAAGAAAGTCTGTAAATAATTGAAGAGAGAATTGGAGGCAGCTACTGGAGTAATGTTCTAGTTCTGCTGTTTGAGCCTCTTTGATGCAGTGCTCTGGTTCAGTGGTCGTGTGTGAATGAACGAGGATGATACAGTCTCACTCATGACCTCAACAGTCTGAAGTAGCCAATGCCCTTGAGATTTACATATGAATAATGAGAATCCTTCAATTCTGTCTTTACCCAGTATCAATGTATAGAGTCTTGTGTATGCGGCAGTAATGACTGAATTATAACTGAAGGACACATAAAAGAGCATTCTATCCCTCACACAAGGACATGTGTGTCACCAAAGAACTTTGTTTTAAATTCCCCCGAATGACCACCTCCTGACCGCCTCCTGACCTGACCACCTCCTGCATCCCTCCAATCCTCCTCCTGACCACCTCCTCATGACCACCTTCTGTCTCCAGACCTCCTCCTGACCACCAGGGGGCAGTGTAGAGTAGTGATTGATTCCTTGAGAGCCTGCACAGTTTGAGTCATATAATCACCTTCCTGTTTCCCTTCTCGCGTGTTGCGTCCTCTACAAAACACACGTCATTTGAATTGACCAACTAGATGTCTTCATGAAAGGGAAAAACTCCAGCTTGCCTTAGCAACCATGTTAGTGACACGTCTTCCTCTGTTACATCACAAAGCTAACACTGTTAGAACAAATGCCAATATAAGGAAATTGGCCCCAGATCGCTTTTGCTCAAACTCCACTCCCAGTATGAGATTTCTCAGTTTCTACTGTAATACATTTCCACTACATGCTGCCAATTGCAGTAGAAGTTTACTCTATTTGAATAATGTGTTTCCGTATTGCCTCGGTTGACGAAGGCATCCCTGGCTCCCATTCCGGCGAGCTGGCTTGTTTGTTTAAATGTTCCCTCTGGTAATAAGTGACTGAATTTAAATGGCCTTGCCTGGGACTATTACCGGCACATTTTTGTCCCCTCTCCCTGCGGCAATAGCAGTGGTCATTTATGCTGCAATGTCGCTAACTATGTATGCTAACTCTGACAACTGCACGGTCGCCTCCACATTGATCTGACTTTTGCCTACAGTATAGCAGCCTTCTGCCTGTAGCAAAAACATTCTGTGAGTACATCTATGTTCATGGTGGCGGTTCTCCTCCTGATAGTGAGGTGTTGCAGTTAACATTCATTGTAAAAGCTTCAATGGGATTGTCTCTGATAGTTTATGGGCAGGCGAGATGAGGTGTTCTGAAGCTGATAGTCTGTTCTGTTTGCCGTATCTCCTCTGTCAGGACACACTGGCCCACAAACACTCCTTTCTACACAAAAACATTGTTCACAACTGTGCTGATAACCTTAATATACATAAAAATAAAAACGAGGACCACAAATCAATCAGTCAGTAAATAATTGACAATCTGTGAATGTCAAATGTTTTCTTATTTTCTGCTGATAGCCGAAGAATAAATAAATGAATAAATAAATTAAAAACTAACTAGTGCTTGACATGGCATGAAAGGGAGTGGGAAGCAGGGAATTTTTCTTTAATCCCACCCCAGCATGTTCTCTCTGTGTCTGCGTGAAGTTCCCCCAGGTGCTCGGTTTTCCCCTACCAGTAAAACCATGTACAACATCTTGAATGTCCGGAGAGAATGAATGAATGGTGTTGGTTGGGGGCTTTGATGCACCAGTATGTTTGGCGTCTCGCCTCCGTCATCACCATGTGGAGAGAATGGACCAATATCTGTACTCCAAAACATTGTAAAGCGCGTTGGTGACCTTGGTCTGCAAAATCCAATATATAAAGGAAGATTACTTACTTACTCATATACTACTCAGCAGTAATTTTTCAAATGTTAAACATATTTCACAGTAGATGAAAACAACAAACAAACAATACAATGAAGGCTAAAGCAAAATAATCATCTTGTTGCAATCATATAATGAGATCTTCGTGACATAAGTGGCTGACATGAAATGCATGTGAAGCCACAAGATGTGATTTGTTTGAAGGGGCTCCGTACAGCACTAATAAACTGCTTGAGTGAGAGAGAGAGGGGGAGCAAGCCCGAGCAGGCCTCACAAATATAATTATATTCTAATTTCCAACAGATAAACAAAGAAGCTGCTCTCGCCAAACTGTAATTAGTATTATTATCACGTGGGGACCTGGGCGGCTTCTGGAAAACGCTGCGAAGGCTTTACAACATGTGCGGACTTATCTTTATTTAGCACGCTTACATAAGGGCCTACACGCTTTTGTTTGCTTCCAACAAACAATAAATTATACCTCTTCTCACGCCTTCCCAGTCTAAGTAGCACATTTAAGATGTCCTTCAAACACACTCTAAAAATAAGGTCGAACATGCAATACGCATAGACATACATGTTACTTTATAATCCAATCACGCATCAACCACTTAAACACAGCATATAGTTGTCACAAAGTAAAAAAAAAAAAAAAAAAAAGTAGCAATAGCATTAGCTACTTACGAAATGCTTTGCAGTGTGGGTAGCGGGGTCACATTCTACACACTAATATATCTACAGTATACATGCATACAATCACAAACTCAAATTCTGACTCAGGAGCACAGGGACAGACCTCCTGCTGGGACTCAGTCAAAACTAAACATGGGAAGGCAGCATTTCAGCTTTATGCAGAATTTAATCTGGAACAATCATCCTGAAAATTTGAGACAAACGTCTTCTCTGACAAATTCAAACCCAGGTTAAAAACAGATCTGTTTATCTGCATGTACACATTTTTAAGATTATTTATCTTGAGTTGCCTTGTGTATGAACTGTGATACAAAAATACACTTGCCTTGCTACTATCATTCAAGAAAGTCAACAAAAGAATACCTTAAATAGATTTGTACCTCGTAACGATCAGGTAAAATGTCTTATATTCCAAAATAGAAAAATGGGTAGATTTGGCCCATATAGACGTATGTTACATGTGCCACATTCCAACCTCATCATGTGACCTGAACATGTTCCAGAGGTTCACCAGATGCTGAATGTGACCCACTTCTGTTGGACATCCGTTTCATCCATCACCAAACCTAGCCCACTTTTGACCCAGTTTTTTTTTTGCCACAGCAGGGGTCTGACTTTATTTTAGTCCATTGAAAAAAACTCAGGCCAGTGGTTTGATACTCGAGGGGCCGATGGCACATACTGGTTGCCTCGCTTCTGTCAGTGTGCCCCAGGGCAGATGTGGCTACAGTAGTAATTTATCACCACCGTGTGTGGAATGAATCCAGGACACTCAAAGACGCTATACACATGTGAAGAGTCTTTGAGTGTCCTGAAAAGCGCTATATAACCCAGTGCATCATTATTATTATTATTATTATTATATGGATAGACAGATAAGCAGGTGTCCAGCAGAAACACATCCATACATACAAACAAATCAATATGTAGTTCTAGGTGGTGTAGCCACTGGGGATTAGCTGCTTCCTCTGAATAATGTCTGCAGAGACTGCTTTGTTCAAACCATTTTTTGAAATTCTGAATACTTTAGAACAGGGGTGCCCAAAGTGGGGCCCGCGGGCCAAAGTTGGCCCGCTGGACCATTTCAGTTGGCCCGCAAAACATTGCCCACCTCCGCTGTAAGATTCTGTCTGCGTCCCTCAACCTCGCTGAACAAACAGTGACATGTCTGAGATTGCGCGTGCGCACAAACACTCTCTGAACAGAGACTGTCCAGTACTTCAATGTTGTATCGAGATACACTCCTCACTCATGGTTCACATCTACTTGCACTAAAATGTTTTTTAAAATCAAACACATCTTTCAAAACAATTGGGTGCAAGGCCCCTTTATGTTCTTTTTTTTCAGCCTACTATTATAATTTTTTTGAGCAATTTAATGTTTTATCAAATTGAGAGGATTGTGCTGGCGAACTGCCACTCCCCCTCCTCACCGGAGGGAAATGGCGAGTGGAACTATTCACCTGCGCAATCCGCACCCACCCGGTGTGTTAAAAAAGACGGACACACACACTTCAGAGTGAGTTCAAGCAGGACAAGCAGGGATCGCAGCGCACGATCCACGCAAGTAGAAGCAACAAATACTGTGCAAAACAAAC